CTTTCAAATTATACGTTAGATAAAACATTGTAATTAACAAATCCAATAAAGAAAACTGATCGTTGTTGGTTAACCCGAAAAATATGAGCGTTAAAGGGTTAATTCGTATCTTGCTTCAAGTATCCCTTATATTTTTGCATATTAAGTAGTCTTTTGAAAATTAAAATTTCCCATAAATGCATAAACATCCTCAGTCTGATGACGAGCAATGGTTGCTGGTTGCTGGTGCCTTTTGTCGTCGAGGCGACTCTGAACGTTAATAGCAGAGAAAAGAGGGGTGACACGGATATGAATATGTCGGGGAAACTATCTTTTGCTAGTGATGAGAAAATGGGGGATGGAAAAAAGGTGGAAAAAGAAGTGGTCGCGACGGCATCTCGCGAGCGTCTGATAGCAGGGAGCGAAGTGGAGGCCAAGGGTGGCGTCGAGAGGCGAATGGAGGCGTTGGCTGTGCTCGCGAGGAAGGGCGTGTTTCTGCGAGGAAAACCGAAGCGGGTGGTTATACGACGGCGCAAGTCTGGACACCCGTTTTCGACGCCTGCGAACTCGGGCGCGAGGCACCTATGAAACTGATTGCGACCGCCTACCATCCTATCGAAGCGAACCACATCCGCGGCACCAAGGAGCTCTTCCACCTATCCACCCAACCGTTTACCCACCTACAACTCGCGACAAACTTCACCGAGGAATGAATAAACCGTGGCTTCCTTCTTCTCCTCGGTTTTCACGGATTTCACTCGGTTCTTGCGTTCGTTTCGTCCACACATGCGCGCGATCCACTGGATCCTGCGTTGCTTCTTGTTTTTTCTGTACCCATCGATGTCGAAACCTTGTTCTTACCTCGCTTCATAATTTTCGTATCGTCGTTGACGCGCCGAGCTGGCGGCCATATTGGTTTTTACGCTCGCCTCGCTGCTGGTCAGAAAACGAGAGAAAAAGGCGAGAATCGAACAGTAATAGTTCTTTATTCTTATATGGAGAATTTTGAAAAATTTGTGGTTACTTTCTGTGGGCGAAAACTGTATTTTGGAGGTTGATGCTTCGATTGTCAGGTCATGTGGCTCGAATTGAAATGTTAAAGGAAATTTTAAGACGGATTTTAAGTCGTGTGGGTTACAATTGTCTAGAATCAAAGTTTTTGGTCTCGTGATACGATTGCAACGCGAAACTTTCCTTCGAGGATTCATACTCTGTATCAGACGATAATTGTGATGATGATGGATGATAGGTATCGTGTAAATGTTCGTTACAAACATTACGTTGATTGAAACACTCGTGTGTTTTAGATCGAATAGACAATTAACTCCATTCGATACTCTTTAATAAGCTATATCAAGTATCATTTAATGTGCCAGAGTTTCGTTCTATCAGCAGCTCACGAGTTGGAAGGATTCTCGCCACTGCTGACCACTGTTGATCATTTGTGACTACTGCTGACCAGTGGTCGCAATTTCCTACTAAAAGTTGACCATTGGTAGGTGGTCGCTTAAACTTAAAGGAAGAGACGAGGAAAATGTCGACGAAGATAAGCGAAGAGGAAGACCATAATGGTAGAGGAAGGAGAGGTTTTAATCATGAATTAAATAATCACCATTTAGAAGTACATAGATCTTTATTAAGAAAGCTTGAAAGATACATACAGATTTAACAATGATTATTCTGGTACATTTGAATAAAATTTAACATGGCTAAGGGAACAATAAACTTGTACGAACTTTTCTGCTCGCTGTTCTATTGGAATCTAATGAAATAAATTACAAAGAGGAGTAAACAAATTTTCGAAATCCGCTTCTGAGATGTAATTTCGATTGATTCCGAAGTAATTAAATTCCCTCAATATTCAGTCTCCAATTCCAAAGACTAAGAATGGTAAATTCTAATTCCAAAGTACCATAATGGAAAACAATTTTCTTTCAGGCCTTCCCTGGTATCTGCCAGCTCTTGCTAGCCTCCGCTAGCCAGTGCTGACAAGAGTAGAGACCCCCTGACAACTTTCGACGCCATACAGCGACTGTTACTGGCTACTCCTGGTTACTGCTGGCCCCTGTTTGCTTCTGCTGGTCTCTGCTTGGCATTGCTGGCCTCTGCTGACCACACCTGATGCTTCTGACACCGTGTAACGATTACTACTTGCTACTGCCTGTCCCTGCTGGTCTCTGCATCCCTCTGCTGGCCTCTGCTGACCGCTGCTGACCACTCCTCATACTTCTGACAACATATAACGATTACAACTTGCTACTGCTTGCCCCTGCTGGTCTCTGCTTGCCTCTGCTTGCCTCTGCTGACCCCTGCTAGCCCCTGCTAGTCTCTGCTGACCGCTGCTGACCACTCCTCATACTTCTGACAACGTATAACGATTACAACTTGCTACTGCTTGCACCTGCTGGTCTCTGCTTGCCTCTGCTTGCCTCTGCTGGTCTCTGCATCCCTCTGCTGGCCTCTGCTGACAGCTGCTGGCCACTCCTCATACTTCTGACAACGTATAACGATTACAACTTGCTACTGCTTGCCCTTGCTGGTCTCTGCTTGCCTCTGCTTGCCTCTGCTGCCCTCTGCTGACCGCTGCTGACCACTCCTCATACTTCTGACAACATATAACGATTACAACTTGCTACTGCTTGCCCCTGCTGGTCTCTGCATCCCTCTGCTGTCCCCTACTGACCCCTACTGAGCCCTACTGACCCCTGCAGACCCCTGCAGACCCTTGCTGACCCCTGCTGACCACTGCTGACCCCTACTGACCACTGCTGAACCCTGCTGACCCTTGTTAACAACTTCTGCCATGATATATATGTATCAAAACATTGTATAATGTAAATCTATTGCAATAAATGATATAATTACAAAGAATTCTATGTTTTCTCATCATTTTTTACCTTTCTTTCCCTCTCCAAGTCATTACCTTAGTTATAAGACTCCCTGAAACTCCTTGGTTTCCCTGAACCCACTAGGAAGTTCTAAATCACCTCGGAAGTCCTGAAAATCAGAACTTTGCTAAAAATTCAGGGTTTCCAAGAATTTTCGGCGTTTCCAAGAAATTTCCAAGAAATTCCAAGACTTCCCAGCTGTTTCAGGGCTTTCCAAGTGTTCAGGATTTCCAAAATTAAGTCGTTTCAGGACTTTCCAGCTGTTTCAGGACTTTTCAATTTTTCGGGACTTCCAAAATTAAGCCGTTTCAGGACTTTCCAGCTCTTTCAGGCCTTTCCCGCTGTTCCAGGACTTTCCAAGTGTTCGGGATTTCCAAAATTAAGTCGTTTCAGGACTTTCCAGCTGTTTCAGGACTTTCCAATTTTTCGGGACTTCCAAAATTAAGTCGTTTCAGGACTTTCCAGCTGTTTCAGGACTTTCCAATTGTTCGGGATTCCCAAAATTAAGTCGTTTCAGGACTTTCCAGCTGTTTCAGGACTTTCCAATTTTTCGGGACTTCCAAAATTAAGTCGTTTCAGGACTTTCCAGCTGTTTCAGGACTTTTAAATTTTGATTTTGGCAGCAAGTACGAGAGCTGGACACTTTGGGAATCCAATTTTAACCGGAAAACGGTCTCTTAAAGCTAAGGCGATGATTTGGAGAGGAAAAGAAAGGTAGAAATGATGAGAACACATAGAATTCTGTTAAATTATATCATTTATTGCCATAGATTTACATTATACAAGGCTTGAATACTTATACATCATGTCAGAAGTTGATAACAAAGGTCAGCAGTGGTCAGCAGTGGTCAGCAGGGGTCAGCAGGGCTCAGCAGGGGTCTGCAGGGGTCAGTAGGGGTCAGTAGGGGTCAGTAGGGAACAGCAGAGGGATGCAGAGACCAGCAGGGGCCAGCAGGGGCCAGCAGAGGCAAGCAGAGACCAGCAGGGGCAAGTTGTAATCGTTATATGTTGTCAGAAGTATGAGGAGTGGTCAGCAGCGGTCAGCAGAGGCAAGCAGAGGCAAGCAGTAGCAAGTTGTAATAGTTATACGTTGTCAGAAGTATGAGGAGTGGTCAGCAGCGATCAGCAGAGGCCAGCAGGAGGCAGCAGGAGGCAGCAGGGGTCAGTAGGGGTCAGTAGGGGTCAGTAGGGAACAGCAGAGGGATGCTGAGACCAGCAGGGGCCAGGAAGGGCCAGCAGAGGCCAGCAGGGGCAAGCAGTAGCAAGTTGTAATCGTTATATGTTGTCAGAAGTATGATGAGTGGTCAGCAGTGGTCAGCAGAGGGCAGCAGAGGCAAGCAGAGACCAGCAGGGGCAAGCAGTAGCAAGTTGTAATCGTTATACGTTGTCAGAAGTATGAGGAGTGGTCAGCAGCGGTCAGTAGAGGCCAGCAGGAGACAGCAGGGGCCAGCAGGGGCAAGCAGAGACCAGCAGGGACAAGCTGTAACAAGTAGTAATCGTTATACGTTGTCGGAAGCATCAGTGGTGGTCAGCAGTGGTCAGCGGAGGCCAGTGGAGGCCAGCAGTAGCAAGCAGTGGCAAGCAGAGACCAGCAGGGGCAACTAATAGCAAGTTGTAATCGTCATACGTTGTCAGAAGTATGAGGAATGGTCAGCAGCGGTCAGGAAAGGCCGGCGGAGGCAGGCAGAATTCAGTAGTAATTGTTATACGTCGTCAGAAATATAAGCGGAGGTCAGGAGAGGCCAACAGAGGCTGGGCAGTCGAGATTTGGAATCGTATGCCGTCGACGTGAGATCGAATTTTAGTTGTTTAAGTGCTAGAAGGCAAATGAGCCTTCCTCTCTCGGCTCCCACGAGACGGTCCGAAATTACTTTGGGCAGCTTCGGAGAATCGAGAAAGGGGGCATGTGTCAGTTTGCCTTTGTCGACTCTTCGAAACTTCACGAGCTCACGTACGCGTGATCTGGCATGTTGAGTAGGGCACCTCTGGCTTGTACCAGGCGCATACGATTCTTTAAATGTTACTGATTCTATGGTTTATCCTCTAGTTCCGTTCGTATTTCGAAAGTCCCTAGGCTACACCAGCGCCAGCGATAGTCGGGCATACGAAGTATTCTATCACGCAAGAGAAGAGAGAAGAGACAAATGTGTGGCGTCTCCCATTGCAATAGACAAATTCTACGTGCGGGTTATCTAAATTCAATCTAAACCAGTTGTATAAGGTATGTAAGGTGGTAACAAATGGATAAACTAAATGTTGAAAGATAATTTTCCACACCTTGATTTATATTGTCGACTGTCTCCTTATTTACATTATTATACAATCATATTAATAATATCGTATTAATATCGGGGGTGAGTACTTTCTGTTCAAAAAATTCGCTTCTTGTCTATTACTGAAGGATCTGGCCATTACATTTCGGCCCTGGTCCAGCTGCCAATTCTCGTTGAACAGGATATAGAATATCGTGCAACGAAAAATCGATAGCATGTTCCTATAATAGTTCAGTCGACGCAGTGAAATGCATGCACACTTGTCGACTGCTCCTCGAATTGACGAACTAACCTCTCAGGCACGTCTGAATATTGCGCGGGAAAATCATTTGTGAACAGTGTCGTTACCGGAGAAATCGTATTGTTATTGTTTAGACCGTGATGACGTCTTTAATGACGATAAATGATGTGGATACGTTTATCGCGAATCAATGAAAAGACCCTCGCTGTACACGAAGAATTTAAAAGAATACTCGGATAGAAATATAAGAGAGAAACTATGGGGAGAATGAAATCAAATATGGAATGTAAGTACTTTTAACTCTATATTTTATGTGATATAAAATTTCTCAAAATACGTCTTTTTCTATTTCAGCATTATTTCTCTAAACAGTTTAATTGCGTTGATATTTGCAACATTGCATCAAAGTTGTAAATTGGACTTCGTATTTAACGTGTACATAATTATGTAAAGTACGATACGCTTTAATTTGTTAAATTATTCCGTGCCACGAGTGTATTCTTTTTAAAGAAAAACCTCCGCGCTTCTGGCAGAGTATAAACGACGCATTGCGTACAGGGTTACCAACTCAAGGTAATGTAAATCCCAGAGTGCGTAAATTACAATCTGAAGATTCTAGCGAAACTACAAAAATACGTAAAGGATTTTCTTTCTATTTCATAATGATATTACTTGTTGGAAATTTCACGTTGTAACAGTGGCGTTTAATTAAAAATACACTAAAAATTCTTGATAGCTCTGCGAGTGTATCGTGCCATTTTTGTAATCTATAGGACTTCGATGCTGTTAATAAATCACGCTTTATTTTAGTGTAATAGTGTTTATTATTATTTCAACTTACGATTAGTATACCCTGTAATCAATGCACAATGTCTTCGCGTGAACCCTTCCCGAATTCGCAACACTGACTAATCATAGTAATCGTATGGCAACGCGACCACGCGTACGTATATATTTCTCCCACATCTCACCAGAGGTCAGCACACACATATCGTGGGAAAATACAAATGTAAAACTTTGTTCTAAATGAATCTGAATATGCAATTAAAGAATCGATATTTCCAAAGTGGCTGATTAGATTGTTCCCTTAAAACTCGATCCCATCGTATCTAAAAAGTACGGTTCCATTTTGTTTATTGCTATAGGGCAAGAAGTACAGAGAAACTGATGAAATCTAAAGACTTGTTTTGAGTGTAAAATATAGAAGAATGTTAAATCAGAGCAGACTGTATATATAACAGTGCCACACTTGGTTTATCAATAATATTAAAACGTTGTTGCTTTATCAATTTTATGGTAATTATTTAAAATAGGGGTAAATTACTTAATAAACATAATATTTATTCCACTTGACGTGATTTATAATATTCGATACGTGTAATCTACAATTAATTATTTGATAAGATTACATTAAAACGCATTTTAATAGAGTATGTTTACTTCAAACTAAAATGGAAGGCACAATTGGCGTTCTTTAATCTTCTAAAGAATAATTGACTTACATGCTCTGGTAGCTTAACGTTTCTATATTATTTTCAACATCGACTGTCACTTAGTTCCGGTTTTAGCCGAATGATCCCATCCGTATTCGTTATTCGATGGCGACAATGGAGATACAATATACAGTGGCTCGTATTTTCGTTCGCATAATTTATTAGATTCGAAGAATTCTCCCCGTTTTTGTTACTTCGAAGGAGCATAACCCACTACCCTAAATAAAGAAATGTTTCCGAACCAGTCCGTGAGCCATTGTACATCTCGTGAAATGCACGACGATTAAATATTTAGGAATATTTACCGAGCGAAATAGTTAAAATAATATGAAACATTTTTCATCTACTTGGCACTAATTGAGCTAGTTTCTAATTTGTCCGTGTACCGGGTAGTCGAGGTTGACACAATTTGTAAAAGGACTTACAAACAGCACACTTAATGAGCGTGTGGCGGCGCCACCAAAGGAGCACCCAACCTTTTTTACCTCTCTCATAAGTCACGATATCCGTCTCTGATTTCTATGTACACTCCTCGAGACTATCGAATGTCCTGGCGTCTAAAACAGGGCTTGCTAGTGTCCACTTTATCGACGAGACCACTAAACAAGCCTAAGAGAAAACGCTCTCCTCCTATCTCGCTTCAATATTCTGTCGCTACGTCGCTACAAGCGTTTCTAAAACTGGATTTGATCACATAGCTTTTCTGTTCTTTTTTTCTGTTTTTTCGAGAGATCGTCGGAACTATAAAAATATTCGACAGAGATTCTTGCCCGAATTCCATAATTGAGTATACAGTAGCAATATTCTATAGAAAAATTTTATTTATAATTTGTTTGATGTTTCGTAGACGGACGCAAGTTTCGTTCCTATTTGATACACAACGTTTTAACAAACAATTGATTATTTAATACGAATGGCAAAAATGGTTCGTATCGAGTAAAATAACAGTTGTGCTTCTTTTATCATTCGCGTGTTCGATCACTTAGTTGTTCGATTCAGTAAATACTATAGCGATATTTATCGAAATCAAGCTCGAACGATCGATAACATAAATCTTCCAACGATTCGTAGCAGTAATTACGTAAAGTTTCGTTCCCTCTTCTCACGATATTTATAAGGATATAAAATGAAACAGAAATATAAACAAAATTAATGAAACGTTCATTGAGAGACTGTTAATAAATAAAAAGAATTTTGCAGCTTATAAAATCGTGAAAAGAAGGAATAAAACGTGTCCTGTATTTATACTTCAACTTTGTATGGCGATCCAGGGATATGGTCGTCGCCCCATTTTACAATAACTATGTACTCTCCTCTTTCACGGACCCAATAGCTTACACTGTAATTATTACGACCTGTGTGTTTCACTACGACCTCGTCACACGGTCCTTTAGGTCCATACATGCCAACATAGAGTATATTGTTACCTGTATAAACAAAATATAGTGAATATAAGAAACTAGAAAAATTTTGTATTATAGATTAGCAATTCTTTTAATCAGAAATTTTATTATTTTATTTCAATGTTCTCAAACATTGAAGCATTGTGCAATCTTCAAAGGACTTAAAGAATGAAAGAATTAAGTTTCTCATATTGAGTCTTTTAGGGATATTAATATCAAATCTGTATTAATATTATTATAGACATTTGTGTCTTGTTTGTTGGAGAATGTGCATGGAGGAACAGGACCAGGAGGAACACTGCGAGAGGATTTATATTTTATTAGGTTATATTTAATAATATCAATGATACTTTACCAGCGTCGGCGGCGTTTACTATAAACTGATTCTGTTTCCCCATGTACGCCTTCTTCAGGCCCATTCCCTTGCTCGTCACTTTGCTAGCGTCTGATTTAAACAAGGGTAGAATCGGTCCAGTTTGTTTAGCTTTCGAAATCTTTTGAACAGTTTCGACAACGATCGAGCTTGTTTCCTGAGCGCCTCTCTCCGCCAGATCCGTACCTGGGAAACCAAAAATATTCGTATTGTACTTTCTCTTTTGCTCTTTCTAAGTTTAAATAATTAAATAAGTTATTATTTTGACGCTAAATCTATCACGACGTAATTTTTTTAATTTGACTGGTTCTGTTTCCGTCTAACGCGTCGCGTCGGAGTTTTCTCTCGCGCGTGAGTCGCGACAGTCGCGCTGTTTACTGTTTACACGCGCGGTCAATGACCTCGCGCCGACGTAAACAATGAAAGGTAAACAAACGCTTCGAACCCTCGTATCTTCGGAACTAATTGCGCTATCGACTTGAACGAACACTCATTTTAAAGGGTATTTCATCCTCCGTCCGATGAAGGTGACAAATATTATTATTTATACTGTCTTCTATGTTTATTTTGAAATTTTCTTTAACATATACGATAAAATTGGATTGTAAATTCTCTATTTAATTGAAAATTAATTTAAATTTATATACAGGATGTACGAAATTTATATACAGAATTAACTACGGTATCGCCTTGAGACAAAATTCGTTTGCAATTCTTTATCTTCTATGCAATGAAAATTAAAACATTTCTACGCAGTTTGTAAACTTTCTGTACTAAAGTACTACAGATATCTTGCGAATAAACTTCGAAACACAATTGGAAGTAGCTTGACTCGTTAAAAGAGAAAACGAAAGGTCGTTTGATCGGTCGTGGTAGATTTAGCGTTAATTATTAATACCCACCGGTGCACGCGACCTTGAAAGGCGAGCCCACGATGTGGTATCCGTTGTACTTGATGCTGATATAGTAATCGCCAGGTACCAACGGAGTGTACCTGACTTTATAACCTTCCTCGACCTCCGTGCAATCCATCGCGACTTTGCTCGGACCATCCACGGTTACGTTCAACGCCCCACTTCCGGCGTTGCAAGTGTCGATGATGAAGTCCGTTTTCTGGCCGGTTTTGATCTCCTTCAGGCCGTTTCCGTACGCGTGCAACGCGGCCGGATCCGCGTCCACTTTACCCACTTTAACACGGTACGGGCTGCCGGATATGTGGACGCCATTGAACTTTATATGGATATTGTGCACGCCGTTCTCTCGCGCCATAAAACGCACAGAGTACGTGTCCCCATCGATGGATTGAATGAAGCAGTCGTCCTCTATGCCACTGGGCGATACGATCTACGGAAAAGAACAGAGTTAATAATATTATAATTTATAAATTATAATAGTATATAAAGGGTGTTCGATTAACCCTGGGAAAACTTTAACGGGGGATTCTAGAGGCTAAAATAAGACGAAAATCAAGAATACCAATTTGTCGATGCTGGCTTTGTTAAAAAGTTATTAACGTTTAAAGTTCCAACAGTACTGAATTTTTTTCTAGAAAATGGGTAGGATTTCGAGGGTATGTCTATTCACCAAAAATGATTGTAGTTGACCCCTGTAATTAAATATAATTTTTTTAATTTGATTTGAAGCTTTTTTTTTTCCTTCGAAAAATTTCACACCTTCTCGAATTTTTTTCTAGAAACTGAGTAGGATTTCGAGTGTATGTCTAATGACCAAAAATGATTGTAATTGGCCCCCGCAACTGACAATAATTTTTCCAGAACGATTTGAACAGATTTTTTTTCGCCGAAAAATTTCAGGGAAAGATGTCAATGTATGGTCAGCCATTTTCAGTAATTAATTTTTTTCTCGAAAACGCGTAGGATTTCGGGGGTACGTGTATTCACCATAAATGATTGCAATCGATCCCCGCGACCGAAAATAATTTTTCCAAGACGATTTGAAATTTTTGAAGTTAATTGTTAATAACTTTTTAACGAAGCCCCTATTAACAAATTGGTATTCTTGATTTTCGTCTTATTTTGGCCTCTAGAATCGCTCTAAGAATACGCTGTACATTTTTTTAAGATTGCTCAAGATATTATTTCTTTTTGTATTTTATTTTTAAACGAGGAAAAAGTTTATTCAGAAAATTGTCATTTTTAAGAGAAGTATTTCATTTTCGACGTAAGTCTTTAAAATCACAGAATTTGGTAGGTGTTTTTAGGTAATATTTAGAAAATTTCTAGAATATTTGAGGAGTTGATATAAAAAAAGAAATGGTTGGTAGTTGGTTTTAGATGAATAGACAATGTCGCTTTCTGTGAACACCGATCATCAAACGATGCGAGTTAGTAAATTATTTCTGACGGTAGTGTGCTGGAAAAGCGTGCGTTTGCCATGCAGACCGTTTGATGTGGCATCATCGTTACACAAGAAGAAGTTATTTAAAGCGCGATTTTCGCAACAACATCGTCGCTGAAATGATGCTGGTTCCCAAGAAAGCCGAAGGTCTGCGAGACTCGTACATCTAGCTGAATCTATATGACGCATTGTACAATTAGCGCGCCAATAAATTCTCCCCGGTTGCGAAATTACAAACAATTGCCCCGAACAATAGAATCTCGATGAAACAAAAACCACATTAATTCCTCTAAAATGAAATGTAAAACAAATTAAGGAATCGACAAAAGGTTATATGTTTGTGTGGGTGCAGTTGGATTTTGCGTAGAAAAAAGAGTGAAGAGAAGTCAGTCGTTTGGCAACTCGGATAAATGGGACGTGAAGGTGCGATTGATCGGTCATAGAAAAGATTCCTGTAAACGTAAAAATGATTTATCGTCTTGTTCGCGATGGAGGATGAATGATCTTACCTTCGCGTCGAGTTCACCCTTGGCGCCATTTTTACGGACGAGGAAGGTGGCTGGCTTGTCCGGTTGCACGCCCGATTCCGGAAATTGGGCGACCTCGAGCTTATGAGCGTCGCCCATCGCCGGGGATATGTAAACCTTGTGCGGCGAATCGGGGATATGTTGATCGTTGAACTTTATTCCTACCCTATACTCCCCTGAAAATCCAAACAAAACAAATTATCGTCGTTGCTCCAGCCCCGAATACCAGATTTTCATTGATCAAACTCGACCTTTATTCATCTAACGTTCGTTTACTTAAAAAAAAATATGGGAAACGTTGCATCTTTGTTACGTTATCTGACTAACCATCGTCCATGGGATCGTCACATTCATTCCCCGTGAGAATTATTTGCGTGGTGGCAGTGAAAGTGCCCATTGTTTGCGTCCCCCGTCAGAAATCAGCGTCCAATATGGCGGATCGGAATAGATCAAGGAGAGAGTAGGCGAGAACGAGAAGTACGACGGATGAGAAACAGCGAAATAGAAAATTCCCGACGAAGAGAAGTGGAGAGAAGAAGGTGTGAAGTTACGAGAGGAAAATTTCAATCGTACGATCGAGAGAATGATGGCGGAGGATTAAAAAATAGGGTCAAACGGCGGAAAATGGACAACTGAACGCAGCTTGATCGCGAACCACTATTTTCCGCAGCCTGATTCCAACTTCTGATCTCGATTCGTCCATGTTTTCTCTCTTTCGACTCTCTCTCTTCCCCTCGTTTTATGCACACTGTCCAAATATAACAACTACGCTAATTCACATCCAGCGGTCTTAGCCACCGAAATATGAATTCACCTTAGACGCAAATATAGACGGGGATATTTATGGATCGGCGCGGTACACACGATGGACGGTATCGGGGAACCACCGCGATGCCACAAAAATACCACATAATCGTCTTTTTACGGTGTTCGTTCATTCTGTCGTCGGTGGCGCGACGTTTTCGTTTGATTCTCAATCACAACGTCACGTTACCTTCCACGAAAACTGGCTAAATTAATAAATTCAATCATAATTGAAATGATAGTTTACAAATAGACTTTGAGTTTTATTTCATAGCTTGAAGAATTTTTCTATTTATCTTTTATCCAACTAGCCAAATTAATAAATTCCATGATAATTGAATATATTCTATTTAATTGAAATCATTATATTCAATTGAATTGAAATCATTATATTCAATTTAATTGAAATCATTATATTCAATTTAATTGAAATTGAAATGAAAGTTTACAAATAAATTTCGAGTTTTATTTCACAGCCAGAATAACTAGTTTATTTACCTTTTATCTTGCTAGCCAAATTAATAAATTCCATGAGAAATTGAAATGAAAGTTTACAAATAGACTTTGAGTTTTATTTCATAGCCTGAAGAATTTTTCTATTTATCTTTTATCTTGCTAGCCAAATTAATAAATTCCATGAAATTGAATATATTCAATTTAATTGAAATCATTATATTCAATTTAATTGAAATTGAAATGAAAGTTTACAAATAAATTTTAAGTTTCATTTCACAGCCAGAATAACTTGTCTATTTTCTATAATAATAATAATAATAATATATAACACATTTTTGTTGTTGTAGGTGCAAATACGATAAACCTCGTTATTGCAAATGGAACGATACGCTTTTTTAGGATCTAAACCGCGTGCAGCGATCTATGATTAAAGAATGATTCAAGATCGACACAGGGAGTAGGTGTTCTAGATAAATGGTAACCTTGAACGGCGATGCATGTTCTAAAACTGCATTCTCTGATCTTTCTCGTCCCGTCATGCCCCTGAGACTACGCGTGCGAGTTATTCCGCGCCAATACTCTCGTGAGTCACTGTATATACATATACACATACTGTAATATATAATTAGTCATTTGTCGAACATTTGGATCAATAATTTTTGGAAGATTAAACAATTTGCTAAATTAATTATTCATCCTTTCATTTCATTGATTTTTTACCATTTTGTCAATTTAATGAGGGTTAATGTATATATGTAGATTAGACAGTATGTTCTAATCGTAAAATACAAAAAAAAAAGAAAAGAAACGAGACTGGGCTGAGTCTTTAAAAAGATACTAATAAAATAGACTAATTTCAGATTATGAACAATTACATATTAATTAATTATTGCTTCGCTTGTATTAAATATTTCCTAAATTGGGTTTTCATTACTGGAATTAGAAAATACACGCAAGCTGATACATGTACATAGTGCATCATCTACTGAATATATATTAGGACTTCTTTCTAAGAGTACTATGTGGAACAAATTAATAACATGTCTGATCTTAATTTCTGCCAAGTTCCATGATTATAGTAGCGAACGTTTAACACGTTGACTGCCATACCAACCCCCTCAAACTGTCCAGGGAAACGAAACTTTGTTATTGAGCAACTGGAAACCAGCACAGCTATCATTTGTTGTTGAATTTATTTTTACAGACCCGTTAAAATTCAAGACTTCTATCTGGATTTATTTTCTTTAATATGTAATCTTAAGAATTAATTGTTTTAACTCCTTAGTGAGAAATCATGTCACCCATATATGGGTGACGTGGCAGTCAATGTGTTAATACGAATGTTTAATACATATTCCAATTGTGTTCGTTGTAAACTTCTCTGTTATAATCAACATAAATAAAACTCAAGAGGTATACGACCATGTGACCAACTCAATATTAGCTGAGCATACAATATTCACAAGCAAAACTCTCCTGTTGGAGTGTGAATTCTCAACCTGTATCATCTGGAAACCCAAGCTAAGAATGAAAACATTCTAGTATCTTCTTTGCTCTAATTTTTCCATAAGAAATTACCTCTCGCCCGTTCAGAATTGCTTTAGCAGTCGTCATAGAGAAACTAGAGGCAACGCTGGAGCTTACCAGGTTCAGAGACGACGTAACTGACGTAACAGCTGCCATCCTTTCTATCCTTGAAGTCGATCTGAGCCTTGCTGGGTCCCTCGATGGAAATGGCGAGGATTCCAGCCCCAGCTTCTCTGGTCCAAATGTTGAACTCGCAGGGTTCGCCCTGTTCGCCTCTTTCCAAACCGGGACCGCCAGCGTGGACCCTGTGCGCGCCACCGTCTCTCAGGGGGCCCACGGTGAACTGGAACGGCGAGCCAGGGATGTGCATCTCCTTGTAACGAACAGATACAGTGTGTACTCCGAGTTCCTTGGGCACGAACGCGACCGCGTACAGGCCATCCTCGACTTCCTTGATCTCCGCGTCCTCTGTCACGCCTCCAGGCGAGGTGACAGTCGCGGCAAGATCGAACGAGGTGATACCAGGCATCTTGAACGTCAGCTTGCACTGACTGCCAACCTCAGTGATGGGCACAGCTTCCCTTTGCCTCTGAATCTTCTCCCTCTGACGATTGCTACCCTCCCCGGTAACCTTCACGGTGAAGGGCGATCCTTCCACGTGATGGTCGGCGAATTTCAGATTCATGATATAGTAACCGGGCTCCGTGGGCTTGTAAGAGATATTCAACGAGCCGTCCTCGTTGTCCTTGCACTGGATCTCCGCCTTGCTGGGCCCCTCCATCGACAACGAGAGGCCACCGAAACCGGCGTTCCTCGTGTCGATCGAGAAATTGTTCTCCATGTGGGTTTTACCCTCCTTCAACCCAGCGCCGGATACCTTGACCTTCTTCGCGTCCCCGACCTCGCGATCCTTCACGTCGATCTTGAACGGCGAGTTCTGTATGTGCTTCCCCATCTTCTTCACGGCCACCGTGTGCTCGCCGGCCTCTCTGGGGGTGAACGAGACGCACATGTTCCCGTTGGGCAGCGTCTTCAGGAAACAGGGCTCCTCGAGGCCGCTGGGCGCCGTGATGGACGCGTTCAGCGACCTTATGTCGGAATCAGCGACCTTCCCAGGCAGTTGGACCTCGCTGGAGGAACCCACCGAGATCTGATTCCTCTTGCGACCCTCGCCTGGAACAGACGACGTAAGAAATTTATTTGAACAGATAGAAGAACGTGAGTAATCGGTAACGTGAGTTGTAACGAGGTGGTAGGTGGATGTACCTGTAATTTTAGCTACGTAGGGGCTACCCTTGATGTGTTTGTCGCCAAACTTTACGCTGATTTTGTATTCCCCGGGCGCAGTTGGTAAATAGGAGACCGAAACGGTCCCATCCTTGTTGTCGTGGCACGATATCTCAGCTTTGCTGGGCCCCTCGACTGCCAACGAGAGACCACCTGCTCCAGCTCCTTTCGTGGAGATGGTGAAGTTCCTGGGTTCCCCGCATACACCGTAAATCAACCCTGGCCCGTACGCCGTCACGTAACCGCTCGCCAACGAATCCACGTGGAACTTGAACGGTGAACCTGATCAACGGGAAAACAACTTTACTCAGCGTTTTATTATTCGTAAGATACAGATTAACAAAAGTACTTTGAATATATGCATTTTGAGGAATTTTTTAGTAATTTTATTGCATCGATGGCAGCGAAAAAATGACAATTATTTAGAATATTGGAGCTCCTCGAGTTTATCAACATAGCAGGACCAATAAAATTTTCCAAATATCTTTAAAATTTTGTAATTTCTAATTTTGTTTATAATAGAGGACTCCTCATCGATTTCGATGATTTTTAAATACGTTTTAGAACCCATCATCCTGAGCAAGGTTTGTTTATAGCAACCGAGGGGTCGGTTGAGCGCTTGTGAGAGTGCGAGCCATCTGGTGGCGAGCTTGGGAAGCTACGCCACAGATATAACCACGCTCAGCTTTAGTTTATGAGATATTTGCAAAATTCTTTCTATATTATTCTGGGAAAAATTTACACGAACGATTCTAGAGGCCAAAATAAAACGAAAATCAAGAATACCAATTTGTCGATGGAGTCTTCGTTAAAAAGTTATTAACGTTTAAAGTTCCGTCAGTACTGAATTTTTTTTTCGAAAATGCGCAAAATTTCGGGGATATGTCTCTTCACCAAAAATTATTGTAATCGATCCCTGCATCCGAAAATAATTTTTCCAGAACGATTTTGAAATTTTTTTATTCGCCGAAAAATTTGGGCTTCTCGAATTTTTTTCTCGAAACTGGGTAGGATTTCGAGGGCATGTCTAATGACTAAAATTGATTTGTAATTGACCCCTGCAACCGAAAATAATTTTTCCAGAACGATTTGAAATTCTTTTTTTTCGTCAAAAAGTTTAGGCACCTATCCCCTGTCGAATGTTCTTAAAAATTCGTTTTTAATTTTTACTAATATTGTTTGACGCCCTACAGAAAAGTTGTCTAATACTTTTTTATAGGTACCCATGAGCTCTACTTCAGAAAAAAGTTTCATTGAAATATATTCACTATTGTAGGAGTTATGGTCGTTTGAAAATTGAACCATTTTTATGGAGTTTTTCTCATTTTTCGTAGTCAAGGAATAACTTTTCGAATATTTTTGTGATTCCCACATGATCTTCGCCAAATTACGCGTTGTTTGCATTTTGGAACATTAAAATCCCGCAATCCGTTCAGAAGTTATGACATTTTAAAGATTCGCATGAAATTTCAGGCAAGCATTTCATGGCCTCGCGTTAGATTTTCAGTAATGAATTTTTTTCTCGAAAATGCGTAGGATTTCGGGGGTATGTCTATTCACCATAAATGATCGTAACCGAGCCACGCGACCAAAAATAATTTTTTCAGAATGATTTGAAATTTTTTAATTTCATTTTTTTAATAACTTTTTAAGGAAGCCTCCCATTAAAATTTTTCCCAGGGGTAATCGAACACCCTGTATGTAATGAAGACTTATTCAGAATGTCGAATTCTATAACATATTTGAAAATGATCGAAATCGATGAGGAGCCCCCTATTATAAATAATTACCGAAAACACTTTTGTTTGCACTGAAATTTAAAAAATTATTAAGGTATTTAATTTTAGGTATATTTAAAGCATATGTCTACTTAAGATATTTGAATAATTTCCAGATTTTGCATATATATTTCAATTTTTATTTATAATAAAAAATTAAACGAACCTTGAACGTGTTCACCGTTAAATTTAACAGCAATTTCATGCTGTCCCTCCTCCCTTGGATCGTATCTGATGGACACTGTGCCATCGTGATTATCTTCGATCACTGGCTTGTCCACGTTCCCGCTCGGCATCTTTACTTCGGCTAAAATCAGAAAACATCGTAATCAGACTTTAATAATTAACATCATTGAGTGCAAAACGCGTGAAAAATTGAAAATCCTAGTGCTAAGGTGTAAAACGTTTAAACAGGAACGTTCGATTCGTAATAACATATATAATTCCAAATAAATACAGTATATTTATTGTTCCTCGACTTCTCGATAAGACAGAAGATAAATTATTTAAAATTGAATATTTTAAACAACGTATATTAAAAAATATTCAGATTACGTGTACCCTGTGACTAAAAAAATTCAGAAGTCGTAACGATATTTATAGATCATCGAACACGCCACATCGAAAATATAAAAATTCTGCCGCTAACCCAAACGTTATATAATTTATAGCCAGTTCAAATTCTTTTGAAACATACGTAACATTTTTCTAAAATCTTCACTGTCCCCCATAAAAGATATTACAGTAAAAAAAAAAACACTTCAAAACTGCTGAGATCACTTAAGTGTATAAATATCTTGCGTGGAACGGCTTCTGGATTTTACGCGGAAATAATCTTAATTTTATTTCCCACACGACACCGTGGAATTTCAATTCAATAACAATAATAATACGCATTTAAGCGGAATCATTTTTATTGTACCATTTCGAGTATAACAGCCAGCGAAGGAATATTCGATTATTTTAAGAACAAATTAATTTTATCGCTAAATTTCCAACGACTTCCACCTCTCGTAGTGTCCCAATCCGCCATGATTGAAATTAATATCGGAAACAATTAACGAACGGTTCAAGCTAGCGACTAAATATAATTTCCTGAACGTTTGAAACCTTTTCTCGTTTGCACGTAGTAAAGGCTCTGAAAAATTAACGGGACGAAATCGAGTCCTGGCGGCGGTTCTTCTTCGTTCCTCGGTTCGGTCTTGGCGTAACAAATCGGCCCACGCTCCGCGTAATCGTACTGGCTGCACGAAATGCTCTTCAGTCCATGTTTGTAGAACGTCGACACCTCCTGCCATGTGGTTTCAATCGGCTCTTCCTCCCAAACCATTTCTGAAGGTACAACTCGATTGACTCACTGATATCGATTACGGGTACGGGCTCGTCGATCAAACCAATCCTCGAACTTTATTCATTTCTTTTACAACTTTAAACAAGAGGACGAGACAGGGGGATAAAAATCACTGGAAACCCCCTATTTATCAGTATTTACCACGTAATTTTAATCGAAGGGTAGAACAATCGTAATTGCAATTAAATGCAACTGAATAATTACGCGGTAATTTTTTGGTAAATACCAGATTGAAAATAAAGATGAGGACATGAGACAGGGGAATAAAAATCACTGGAAACCCCCTGACAAACTAACTAACTAACTGCAAACAAACTAACTAACTGACAAACTAACTAACTAACTGCAAACTAACTAACTAACTGACTAACTAACAAATTTACTGCAAACTAACTAAATAACTGCAAACTAACTAACTAACTGCAATCTAACAATCTAACTGCAAACTAACTAACTAACAAACTAACTATCTAACATAGTAACTAATCTCACGTAATTTTAATCGAAGGTTAGAACAATCATAATTGCAATTAAATGCAATTGAATAATTACGCGGTGATTTTTTGGTAAATACCAGATTGAAAATGAACAAGAGGACGAGATAAGAAAACAAAAATCACTGGAAACCCCCTATTTATCATTATTTACCACGTAATTTTAATCGAAGGTTAGAACAATCGTAATCGAATGCAATTCAATAATTATTCGGTGATTTTTTGGTAAATATCAGATTGAAAATGAACAAGAGGACGAAATAGGAAAATAAAAATCACTGGAAACCCCCTATTTATCAATATTTACCACGTAATTTTAATCGAAGGTTAGAACAATCGTAATTGCAATTAAGTGCAATTCAATAATTACGCCATGATTTTTTGGTAAATACCAGATTGAAAATAAACAAGAGGACACAAGATAGGAATCTAAAAATCACTAGAAACCCCCTATTTATTATTATTTACCACGTAATTTTAATCGAAAGTTAGAACAATCATAATTGCAATTAAATGCAATTGAATAATCACGCGGTGATTTTTTTGGTAAATACCAGATTAAAAATAGAGAACACGAGACAGGAAACTAAAAATCACTAGAAACCCCCTATTTATCATTATTTACCACCGTAATTTTAATCGAAGGGTAGAACAATCGTAATCGACTGCAATTAAATAATTACGCGGTGATTTTTTGGTAAATATCAGATTGAAAATAAACAAGAGGACAAAATAGGAAAGTAAAAATCACTGGAAACCCCCTATTTATCATTATTTACCACGTAATTTTAATCGAAGGTTAGAACAATCGTAATCGAATGCAATTCAATAATTATTCGGTGATTTTTTGGTAAATACCAGATTGAAAAATTGAAAAATTTAATACTATTTTCGACGTATTTTAAATTTAAAAAATAAAAATCACTGGAAACCCCCTATTTATCATTATTTACCACGTAATTTTGATCGAAGGTTAGAACAATCGTAATTGCAATTAACTCCAATGAAAAAAAAAATTGAAAAATTTAATATTATTTTCGAGGTATTTTAAAATAAAAAAAACGTGTAGTGAAAGAGCTTTTAAGGGGTTGGAAGTATGTTTCGCGTAGGAGATTTTTGTAGATCGCGTTCTTGATAAATATTCTTGTTTTCGCTTCCCGAAAAACTTATAAATAACTTAAAACCGAGAATAAACGAAAAGTTGTATTCGCGCGGTCCCCGAAGGATTAAGCTCGATTCCCGGGGAATTCCGATGTTTTCGCGGTTCGGATAGAATCGAGAAAGAAACGCGGCGTCGTAAAGTATCCGTCATTCCGAGAATAACTTCTTTGACATGGCGGGTGTCTAGACGGAAGACGTGTCTCCATCTTCTCCGGTTCCTACCGCGACATCGATCTGGACACGTTGGCGAAGATAAAATGTTCCTAAATTTACAGTACCTAGATTTTAATCAATTTCCCACTTGGTAGATTTACACTAACGTTTGTTTTTAAAAACTTTGAAATTAAGAAACTCGTAAACTCGACGCGAACGATTTAATTCCAATGCGTGGAGGATTGATTCGTGGTTCTCGTTCAGAGTTAAAGACACTGGTCATCTGTTTCGAGAGGTAAATCCATTTCCAGGTAACGAACTTTCGATAAAAAGAATTCTCCAGCGATCGTGGGTGATTTCGAGCTGAGTGGGGTTCGGAGGAAACAATTAAATACAAACACCATGCGGAGAAAGCTCGTGTGATTGTTCGGGTAACGGGGTAAAATCATCCCTCGCGGTGACGGAACATCGTGATCTTTCTAATGTGCACGGACCTATGTCGCGACAGGAGAAAAAAACCGACCGAACGGGATATACACCGGTTAAGAAACCCCCTGGATTTCTTCTCTTCGGAACGTAATCGTCACAGCGTCGTCTGTTCGGCTTCCAAAATACACGAGAGGGCGTTTTCAAAGATACCCTGAGCAGGATCCCCGGGCGTCAATTGACTTCTCGAGGGTATATCTCTGGCGCGACTGACGACCAACCGGGCAGGAGAATTGCCACCGACCTAACCATGCCAACCCGGGGAGACCTTCTTTTTTTTTCCAGAACGCCTAACGCCCCGGACTTTATATCACGCGGGAGTCACCTCGCGTCTAATAAATCTACCACCTCTATCCCGCTGACGAGTATCCACGTAGAAAATAACGTTTCGTACAACCTCGTATAATTACGCGCACGCTTAAACCTAATGAATCATTCCTCTCCGAGATGACCCCCCATTGCACCTGCCGGCACCGCCACTTCCGGCCATATTGTTCTCATTCGCTTATGGTTACTTTTAGCTGTCCGTCCAGACGCCACATCCTTCGATTCTACCTAATTTTTTAACACCTAATATATTAATAATAATGTAACTGATACACCTAGAAATTCTCGATACCTCAATGGGGTACTTAATATTATTAAAAAATATTATTAAGTATCAAATTTTTTAACACGTTTTCTCTTTCGATATTTCTTCAAATTATAGCAAATAGAAATATTTAATACTTCAATGGGGTGCTTGTTATTTTTTAGTATTCCTAATGGCAACGACATTATTAAAAAATATTATTAAGGTTCGTTTATTATAAGCGTCTTGAAAACACATAAGATTGAAGCGCCTATCACCAGTGATCATGGCAGTCAAAGTGTTAACAAAATCAACCTTTCTTTTAAACGAGGTACCAACCTTTTTAAAATACAGAATATTCTATAACGAGGAACCCAATTTAAAGCTAGATTTTATATTTAAAAACAATAGCCTCGATGAGATAATCTACTCAACACTTTGACCGTCATGTCGGCCATATTGGATGGCGAGACTTTCCCACTTTGAAGCTAAAACACTTAATTTTCGAACCGAAACGTCGAAGGAAATAAATCCTAATAGGACCAATGTATCGTTTTCTTAATAAATTCGAAAATAAATACCGAGACAAATTATAATTTACGTTTGCAATTGTCTGAAATCAAAGTTTTGGTATTGCAGTGAACGTGTTAATATTGCCCCAATGGAGTTGAGCCAAATTCTCTTATCGAAAGCTCTTATCGACAATTATCCTGCTTCGACTGGTCAAAAGAGTTGCATCACCACGAAACACCATGAGATCGAAATAAAAGGTAAGCAAAATATTCTCGATACCTTTGTACTTGTACATCTCGAAGCTAATTTTCAACTTAAACGTTGTCCAGGAATTATTTCGCTCGAAGCAAAGGCTTGGCCTCGATTCTTCGCCAAAGTAAATCCCAGATATTACGGGACACCGTATACAAAGAGGTAAAGTATCTCTTAAAAATGTCTTCTTAAATTGTACTCTTGATCGCGCACGTTTATTTCCATACAGCAGAAATAAATTTTATTCCCCGCGTGCCACGAGTCCTTACAGTTTTTAATGAACAAAATTATGCTACGAGAGAATGGTTTTATCCCTAACACAGCTT